CGCAAACTGTACGATCGGTACCGCTGCCTTTCGTGTTTGAACCGGACTCAATTGGACCGTCCGTGCCCGTCCTGCCCACCCACCGCACGTCCTTGCTTGGACCGCACCCATCAACTAAAATACCAGCACAAGATCTATCTCACCTGCACGCCAAGATTCACGGCACTGTTCACTGCGTCGATTCCACCGCTGCTGACCTTGTTGACCGCAATGTCATCGATGGCCTGGGACACGTGTGTCGCTCACCTGGGTCGGCCGCCCTCGTTGAGTCTCCCCACATCCCCTCTCCAGAAAGAAAACAAGATGATTTGGATGGCTATTCCGTACCCTACATCGACCAGCCCTCTTTTTTAAACGAAACGGCCAGAATCGACCCGCCCCCACGTCACACATCACATTCCACTGACGTTGCTACCCCACACGGGTCGCCACAGCCGCCCTCCGGTCGGCCGCTGGGCCTGCTCGATCCCCCAGGCGCCTCTTCTCACCCAGCTCCGCACCCTGCTGCCACTGACTCACGGGCCCCACCATCGTCCCCCAGATCGCCCACACAGCATGACAAAAACAAAGCTTGCATGCACACGCATGCGCCCATCATCACGTCTATTCCATCGCCTGCCCCCTACCTCCGCCAGCCTACGCTCTGCCCAGTCCCCTCAGCTCCGTCCCGAGATCGCCATTAACCAGTCGCATGCACCTGCCTCTGCTGCCATCCCACTGCAAGCTTTGATCTACACGCCGATGCAGGACCCGCGCTCCTACTGGGAGGTTTTGCTAAGCTCCCCGCCTCGGGTCTCTGGAACCACTCGCCCGCATCCATCAGCCTCTCAGGCTTATAAATCCTCCTCTCCTCTCCTAGCTAACCTCAAACACATACACCACCATTACAGCCACAAGAAGAAGACTAGGTGCTTTCGGTGCCTTGCTTGTGACCACACTATCGCAGACTGCCGAGACCCGATTCGGTGCTCTCGCTGCTGGTGCTTCGGCCACCGGAGTTTCAGGTGCAAGGCCATCCGCTTCCTCCCATTCTTTCCTCCCATGCCTCCTTCTCCGCGTATTAACCCTGCATTTGTGCGACCTCCTTGCAGCGCAATGGCACACACGACGGGCACCCACACCGCCTCTGGCTCGTCCGCTTCCTCCAACGACGCGCCGATCTGGTTCGGCAACCACTGCGTCCTCACCAACGAGCTGCCTCCCTTCCGTCTCCCGCTCATCTTTGGCCCGCGCGCCTCCTCCTCATCCCCCCTGGAGCCGTCTTTCGCGCCGCCTCCGCCTCCATCACCAGCCTCCATTCCCACCGCAGCATCATGCTTCTCCCACACGTCACCGCACATCCCTCTCCTCGTCCCTCCCAGCTGCCTTGTTCGACAAGTTGACAACCTTGCCTATGTACACCTCGCCACCCCCATGCACAACCCTTTTCGGTTCATTCGCCAGGCCCTTGCTCACCATCGCAACAACCCCACGTTCGGCCTCACCTCCTCCGCACGTGGCGCCGGGCGTCTCTCTTTCCCCAACGCGGAGGAGCGCCTCGCGGCCACTGGCCATGGGCCAATCCACCACCAGGGTAATACCCTTTTCTTTGAACGGCCTGAGCACGCCGACAATAGATCCATGGCCATCTTCATTCACATGGCGGAAATCGAGGCTTTCGAATTCCCCGACGAGCTCTGGAATCCGGAGGGGGTCGACTACTTCTTCTCTCACCTTGGAGATTTTGTCTCCGCCGACCAGCATTGCTTTCAGGGTGACTACTCGAGCGTTCGCGCTCTTGTCATGGTTGCCCGTGATTTCGTGCTCCCCCCATGCCTCATGGTGCGCCTCCCTAATAACGATGTTGTCATAGTCAAACTTGAGAGCCGTGCGCTCTTCCGTCATGGCTCTGATGCTTCTCCCTTCTCATCAGAGGATGGAGACGACGGCTCCCTCTCCTCCCTAATAACAAACCCGCGCCTCTCATCCTCCACCATCACCCAGCTCAGAAACATTGCCACGGCCATGTCTCCATTCGCATATGAGTTCGAGTCCCCTGTGGGCCCTCCTCCATCACCTGCTGTAGACCGGCCACTCGATGGCATCCCGATCCTGGCAGTCATGGCTGATGGCATGCCTGTCGCCATGCTTGTTCACGCTCCTTGGGCTCCTCCAGCTCGCTCTCCCTCTCCTACTAGGGATCGGGCTCGGCCATGCCATGTTTGTCCTCTGCTCATCCTGCCAGCTCCACCATATCCACCTCCACCTCCACCCATGCCGTCTCCTCCACCACCACCACCTGCCCCCACGGCTCTCCTCTCGCCGGAGCCCACCCATGAGTGCCATGCCAGGCGCATCAACAGGCGCGCGAAAATGGCTGCCGACTCTGGCATCAAGGCCAGGCGCAGCACTAGGCTGGCTGAGATCGAGCCGCCTGTCTATGCTTCTATGACTTCCAAGGCTATGTGCTCCAAGGTTAAGAAGCTGGACCTAGCTGCTGCGTCCAAAGATCTATCTAACGCCCTGATCCATGCTCGTCTCTACGACGAGGCTGGCTTCGTCGATGGCTCTGCTCACGGCCTCTCATTGCCTGAGGATCTTGCGGCTGTTGCTGCTGCCTGCGGCGCCTCGCCGAAGGAGGTCGCCGACATTGCTTCGGGCTCTGGTGACCTGGGCTCTCCATGATCTGCTATCTGCGCTGTGGCCATGCATGTGGCGGCCTGTCCTGGCTATGTATCCGGTGTCTAGCACCGCTCAGTAGTTGCTATGTTAGGAAGTATCGACTGGTTAGTGTGCTCATGCCTACTTCTGTATCCTACTGTATCTTGACCCGAAATGGTTGTCGGTCGGGTCAAACCCCCTATGTAAGGTGTCAATTTAAGTTTCAACTATGAAAAATGCATCCTACTCTATAATCTCCTGGAATGTACGCGGACTAGGTGACAATGACAAGTGTGCCAACGTGTTCTCTGAAATCAATCTCCTGCGCCCATCTGTAGCCCTTCTTCAAGAAACCAAACTACAAAAACCAGATACAATCAAGATTCGTTCGATTTTGCCACGGTTCCTTGACTCTAATAATCACCTTGGCGCAATTGGATCTGCGGGTGGCATTCTTTCGGCAACCAACTCTCGATGCTTCTCGCTCCTCAACTGTCAACATAGGCGTTTCACATCCACCTTAACTCTAGCATGTCTTGCATCACCCCACAAAATCTTTATCACAAACGTGTACGCTCCCTCTCAGCAAGACCTAAAGATGGCATTCCTAGACGAGCTAAAACTAATCGAACCACCACCACAATCACCCTGGCTCCTAATTGGAGACTTCAACCTCACCAGATTCCCCAACGAACGCAACAACAACAACTTCCGGCGATCAGAGGCTGACGCTTTCAACGACACCATTGATCAACTTGCTCTCTTAGAGCTCCCTCTCCTTGATAGAGAGTTCACCTGGTCAAATAAAAGGTTGTCTCCCACGCTAATCCATCTAGATAGGGTTCTTATCAACCTCGCTTGGGACGCTACTTTCCCAAACTCTCACCTCACCTCTCTTACTAGGTTTATTTCTGATCACGTACCACTGCTAGTCACAGTATCCACGTCTGTCCCATCTTCCCGCCTTTTTCGCTTTGAACGATTCTGGACCTCCTTTCTGGCCTGTGCAAACATAGTACGCGACTGTTGGCAGCCCAACACTCGCCGTCTTGGGCCTTCCATGGACCCTGCTGCCTCCCTGGCTATATGCATTAAATCTACACGATCGGCCCTAAAACACTTGGCCAAATCGCTGCAACCCATCTACCAACGAGAAACAAACTGCAAACTGGCCATCCAGGCCCTCGATTTAAATGAGGAACTAGCTCCACTCTTCCCGCTTGAACACAAACTAAGGCTATCGCTCTCCAAGCTACTTCAACAAACTATCAAACAAAAAATCTCCTTCTCGAAACAAAGGGGCAAAGTCAGGGTCACCGTAGATGGTGATGAGAACACCCGGTTCTTCCATGCTTCGGCCACCCAGCGATCTAGATCAAACAAAATCCCCATGCTCGTCCACAACAATTCTGAAGTTTTCCTACATGAGCAAAAAGCTCACATCTTAAAAGATTTTTTCAACCAATTGATCGGGACCACAAAACAAGCTACTTGGAATTTCAGTCTACTGCAGCTATACCCCTCACCCCTCCCCCAACTATGTGACCTAGCACAACCCTTCTCCCACGAAGAAATCCATCAAGCTTTCTTATCTATGAACACCAATGCCAGCCCTGGACCAGATGGCTTCGGACCCATCTTCTTCTGAAAATTTTGGAATATTATCAAACCTTCCATCCTAGAATTCTTCTCTGCCTTCCAAGATCAAACTGTCTCTCTCGAACGCTTCAACCGCGCCTTCATGGTACTCCTACCAAAAACGCAAGCCCCAACATCTCCGGACGCGTTTAGACCTATCTCTCTCCAAAACTGCACGCCAAAAGCAGTGGCCAAAATCCTCACAAATCGAGTTAAACCTCTCATCCCACTGCTCATTCATTATGATCACACGGGCTTCCTTCATGGCCGCAACATTGCTGAAAATTTCATCTATGCTGCGGATATTCTCAGTACGTGTCACTCACGTAAAGCTTCGACTATGGTCACTATCCTCCTTTCCACTAGTATACCTAGGGCTTCCACTATCTCCTACCAAATTGCCCTTGATAGCTTTCGACCCGATCATAGACAACTTTCAGAAATTCCTCTTTGGATGGGTGGCGTGCCTTCTCTCACAGGGCGCCAGGCTCACCCTGCTGACTGCGGTCCTCGACTCCCTAACAGTTTATTTTATGTCCGTTTTCAGACTACCAAAATCGATCCTAGCTAAACTTGACGCCATTCGGAGGGTGTTCTTCTGGTCTAACGAGTCTACCTGTACTGGGGCGAGCTGCCTAGTTGCATGGAAAAACGTTTGCAAACCAAAAGATTATGGTGGTCTAGGCATTAAAAATCTTGAAATTCAGAACCGCTGCTTGCTCATGAAATTCTCCTCCAAAATTCTACAACACCCAAACGTCCCGTGGACCTTGTGGTATAACCACCAACACCCTCTTGGCATTGCTACAAAAACTACACGACCCTCCTTTTTATGGAAGATTATCAACAACAACTTGCCACTGCTAATTGAACACTCCTTCGTGATCACATATAATGGTCTCTCCACCTTCTTCTGGCTTGATAAATGGCTTCTCCACTCACCACTACAAAAAGTTTTCCCAAACCTATACTCACACTCCATTGATGACAAGGTGTTAGTGGCTACTATTTGGCAAACCAGCTTATTGACGAACCTGCGGAACCGTCTGTCTAATGTTGCGGCTCGCGAGTTGGATTGGGTGTTGTTGTTGTTGCAGGACTTTCAGCAGGTGGACCAACCGGACGAACGGTCTCTCACCCATGGCCTGTCGTTCTCTGCCAAGAATGCCTACTCCTCCATAGTAGCTGAAGATTCAACCGACCCACACCATGATCTAGTTTGGGCCTCCAAATTCCCAATCAAAGTCAAGGTCTTCGCATGGCTCCTCCTCCGTGATTGACTGAACACGAAGGCAAACATGTTTCACAAACACATTGCACAGTCTACCGCTTGCTCCCGCTGTCAAGACCCTCATGAAGACGCCCTACACCTCATCTCCAGCTGTTCTTATGCTACACAAGTATGGTCCTCCTTGGGACTACAGGCTCCAACTTCTCTGGATGATCTACTTCAACACCCAAAACTTCAAGGCCTCAACCCCAACATATGGCCTTCAGTCGCTCTGTCTATCTCTTGGAAACTATGGGACTCAAGAAACGCCCTAGTTTTCAGAAATGAGGATCACTCCACCAGGACCATGCTACATAACATTGTTGCTGATTTCTCTCTATGGGTTTTTAGGTTCAAAAACAAGGAAGACAATTCATTCGCTAAGCAATGTCTTCATTTCTTATCCTCAGTTGTCCCCTAAATAGCTGACTTTGTAACAATCCTCTGTTGTAATCCTATGTTGTAATCCTCAAACCTCCCTTTTGAGTGGTAATATATTCAGGTGGGGAAGCTCTCCCCCCGGTGACCGTTCAAAAAAAAAACAAGTCTATTGCTTTGAATAAGATGAACCCCAATGATCCTAAGTTTGGAGATTGTTTATTTGAGCTTACCAATCTTATGCGTGCCAAAGGAGATGTTGGAATTATTTGTTGGGGAACGTAGCAAAAATCAAAAAAATTCTACGCATCACCAAGATCAATCTATGGAGTAATCTAGCAAAAGGGAAGGAGAGTGCATCTTCATACCCTTGTAGATCGCTAAGCAAAAGCGTTCAAGTGAACGGGGTTGATGGACTCGTACTCGTCATGATCCAAATCACCGATGATCCTAGTGCCGAACGGACGGCACCTCCGTGTTCAACACACATGTAGCCCGGTGACATCGCGCATGCCTTGGTCCAGCAAGGAGAGAGGGAGAGGTTGGGGAAGACTCCGTCCAGCAGCAGCACGACGGCGTGGTGGTGGTGGAGGAGCGTGACACTCCAGCAGGGCTTCGCCAAGCACTCCGAGAGATGAGGAGGAAGAGAGGTAGGGCTGCGCCAGGGAGAGGAAAACTCATGTGTTTGCATCCCCCAATACCTCAAGTATATATAAGGGGAAGAGGAGGGGCTGCGCCCCCATCTAGGGTTCCCTCCCAAGGGGTGGCGGCAGCCCCAAAACCCATCTAGGGTGCGGCCAAGGGGGGGAGAGGGGGAAACTTGCCCCCCAAGCAAGGTGGAGGCGCCCCCTCCCCAAACCCTAGGCGCCTTGGGCCCTGGTGGGGGGCGCACCAGCCCACCTGGGGCTGGTCCCCTCCCACACTTGGCCCATGCAGCCCTTTGGGGCTGGTGGCCCCACCTGGTGGACCCCCGGGACCATCCCGGTGGTCACGGTACGTTACCGATAGCACCTGAAACTTTTCCGGTGACCAAAACAGGACTTCCCATATATAAATCTTTACCTACGGATCATTCCGGAACTCCTCGCGACGTCCGGGATCTCATCCGGGACTCCGAACAACATTCGGTAACCACGTACATCTATTCCCTATAACCCTAGCGTCATCGAACCTTAAGTGTGTAGACCCTACGGGTTCGGGAGACACGTAGACATGACCGAGACAACTCTCCAGCCAATAACCAACAACGGGATCTGGATACCCATGTTGTCTCCCACATGTTCCACGATGATTTCATCGGATGAACCACGATTTCGAGGATTCAATCAATCCCGTATTCAATTCCCTTTGTCTAGCGATATAGTACTTGCCCGAGATTCGATCGTCGGTATCCCGATACCTTGTTCAGTCTCGTTACCGGCAAGTCTCTTTACTCGTTCCATAACACATCATCCTGTGATCAACCCCTTGGTCACATTGTGCACATTATGATGATGTCCTACCAAGTGGGCCCAGAGATACCTCTCCGTCACACGGAGTGACAAATCCCAGTCTCGATTCGTGCTAACCCAACAGACACTTACGGAGATACCCGTAGTGTACCTTTATAGCCACCCAGTTACGTTGTGACGTTTGGTACACCCAAAGCATTCCTACGGTATCCGGGAGTTGCACAATCTCATGGTCTAAGGAAATGATACTTGACATTAGAAAAGCTTTAGCATACGAACTACACGATCTTTGTGCTAGGCTTAGGATTGGGTCTTGTCCATCACATCATTCTCCTAATGATGTGATCCCGTTATCAACGACATCCAATGTCCATGGTCAGGAAACCGTAACCATCTATTGATCAACAAGCTAGTCAACTAGAGGCTTACTAGGGACATGGTGTTGTCTATGTACCCACACACGTATCTGAGTTTCCTATCAATACAATTATAGCATGGATAATAAACAATTATCATGAACAAGGAAATATAATAATAGTAACTAATTTATTATTGCCTCTAGGGCATATTTCCAACAGTCTCCCACTTGCACTAGAGTCAATAATCTAGTTCACATCGCCATGTGATTAACACTCACAGGTCACATCGCCATGTGACCACATCCAAAGAGTTTACTAGTGTCACTAAACTAGTTCACATCATCATGTGATTAAGAATCAATGAGTTCTGGGGTTTGATCATGTTTTGCTTGTGAGAGAGGTTTTAGTCAATGGGTCTGCAACATTCAGATCTATATGTACTTTGCAAATCTCTAGGTCATATTGTAAATTCTGCTTCCACGCTCCACTTGGAGCTATTCCAAATGGTCGCTCCACTATACGTATCCGGTTTGCTACTCAGAGTCATTCGGATAGGTGTTAAAGCTTGCACCGACGCAACTCTTTACGTCGAACTCTTTATCACCTCCATAACCGAGAAACATATCCTTATTCCTCTAAGGATAATTTTGACCGCTATCTGGTGATCCACTCCTTGATCACCTTTGTACCCTATTGCCAGGTATGTAGCAAGGCACACATCAGGTGCGGTACACAGCATAGCATACTGTAGAGCCTACGTCTAAAGCATAGGGGACGACCTTCGTCCTTTCTCTCTTTTCTTCTACCGTGGTCGAGCTTTAAGTCTTAACTTCATACCTTACATCTTAGGCAAGAACTCCTTCTTTGACTGATCCATCTTGAACACCTTCAAGATCATGTCAGGGTATATGCTCATTTGAAAGTACCATTAAGCGGTTTTTGATCTATCCTTATAGATCTTGATGCTCAATGTTCAAGTAGCTTAATCCAGGTTTTCCCTTGAAAAACACTTTTCAAATAACCATATATGCTTTCCAGAAACTCTACATCATTTCTGATCAACAATATGTCAACAACATATACTCATCAGAAATTCTATAGTGCTCCCACTCACTTCTTTGGAAATACAAGTTTCTCATAAACTTTGTATAAAACCAAAACTCCTTGATCATCTTATCAAAGTGTATATTCCAACTCCGAGATGCTTACTCCAGTCCATGGAAGGATCGCTGGAGCTAGCATACCTTTTAGCATCCTTAGGATCGACAAAACCTTTCTGATTGTATCACATACAACCTTTCCTTACGAAAACTGGTAAGGAAACTCGTTTTGACATCCATCTGCCAGATTTCATAAATGCAGCTAATGCTAACATGATTCCGATGGACTTAAGCATCGCTACGGATGAGAAAATCTCATCGTAGTCAACTCCTTGAACTTGTGAAAAACTCTTCGCCACAAGTCGAGCTTCATAGACGGTGACATTACCGTCCACGTCCGTCTTCTTCTTAAAGATCCATTTATCTCAATGGATTGCCGATCATCGGGCAAGTCCACCAAAGTCCATGCTTTGTTCTGATACATGGATCCTATCTCAGATTTCATGGCTTCCAACCATTTTTAGGAATATGGGCCCACCATCGCTTCTCCATAGCTCGTAGGTTCATTTTTGTCTAGCAACATGACCTTCAAGACAGGATTACTGTACCACTCTGAAGTAGTACGCATCCTTGTCACCCTACGAGGTACGGTAGTGACTTGATCCAAAACTTCATGATCACTATCATAAGCTTCTACTTCAATTGGTGTAGGCGCCACAGGAACAACTTCCTGTGCCCTGCTACACACTAGTTGAAGTGACGGTTCAATAACCTCATCAAGTCTCCACCATTCTCCCACTAATTCTTTCGAGACAAACTTTTCCTCGAGAAAGGAACCGATTCAAGAAACAATCCCTATTGCTTTCGGATCTGAATTCGGAGGTATACCCAACTATTTTGGGTGTCCTATGAAGATGCATTTTATCCGCTTTGGGTTCGAGCTTATCAACCTGAAACTTTTTCACATAAGCGTCGCAGCCCCAAACTTTTAATAAACGACAACTTAGGTTTCTCAAACCATAGTTCAAACAGTGTCGTCTCAACGGAATTACGTGGTGCCCTATTAAAGTGAGTGCGGTTGTCTCTAATGCCTAACCCATGAACGATAATGGTAATTCGATAAGAGACATCATGGTATGCGCCATATCCAATAGGGTGCAACTATGATGTTCAGACACACCATCACACTATGGTGTTCCAGGCGGTATTAATTGTGAAATAATTTCCACAATGTCTTAATTGCGTGCCAAAGCTCGTAACTCAGATACTCATCTCTATGATCATATCATAGACATTTTATCCTCTTGTCACGATGATCTTCAACTTCACTCTGAAATTACTTGAACCATTCAATAATTCAGACTTGTGTTTCATCAAGTAAATATACTCAGTATCTACTCAAATCATCCGTGAAGTAAGAACATAACGATATCCACTACGTGCCTCAGCACTCATTGGACTGCACACATCAAAATGTATTACTTCCAACAAGTTGCTTTCTTGTTCCATTTTACTGAAAACGAGGCTTTCAGTCATCTTGCCCATGAGGTATGATTTGCATGTCTCAAGTGATTCAAAATCAAGTGAGTCCAAACGGTCCATTTGCATGGAGTTTCTTCATGCATATACACCAATAGACATGGTTCACATGTCTCAAACTTTTCAAAAACGAGTGAGTCCAAAGATCCATCAACATGGAGCTTCTTCATGCGTTTTATACCA